ACTGTCGTGAAAGACCTAGGTGCTGTGGAACTGAAGGTGGTGGTGGTCGTGGTGGTCGTGGTCGTGGTCGTGGTCGTGGTCGTGGTCGTGGTCGTGGTCGTGGTCGTGGTCGTGGTGGTGGTCGTGGTCGTGGTCGTGGTCGTGGTCGTGGTCGTGGTCGTGGTCGTGGTCGTGGTCGTGGTCGTGGTAAGTGGTAAGTGGTAGTGGTGGTAGTAGTAGTCGTCGTAATAATGGTAGTAGTAATCGTAGTAGTAGTAGTAGTAGTAGTTGTTGTTGTTGTTGTAGTAGTTGTAGTAGTAGTAGTAATGGTAGTAGTTGTAGTAGTAGTAGTAGTAGTCGTAGTAATAGCAGCAGTAATATTGGTAGTCCTCCTCGTCGCAGTAATAATAGCCTACAAACGCAGTGGGCGTTTCACCGTTTGGGACCACCCCGGTCCACGTAGTTTATCTCATTCACCATCTCGTTTTGATTCGACACTCCGTACCAAAACTGTTGCCATACCAACGAATACTGAAACTTTTATGTGCGCGTGTATGTATACGCATGCATGTGTCACTGATTGTATGTACAAATCAAAGTTCTCACGTCGTCTAGGTCAGAACGAAGCCACAGGTGATAGTGACATGTATGAACCACATACATACATACATACATACATACATATATACATACATATATATATATATATGTACATATTTACCGTTATATATATGTATATATACATATATATTTGTTTTATGTATATGTAGATGTAAATGTATATGTGTATGTATCTGTATATGAATGTGTATATGTACATGTATGTGTATATGTGTCACAAGAGCCTTGTTAAAAAAACACGAGGTTTCCAAGGACGCGCAACATGCGACACTCAACAAAAAACCTCACGACTACTGAGGGATTGCTGTGCTGAGGGTAGATTGACACGAGGTTGCCAAGGAACAGCGGCCCACAACATGCGACATTCAACAAAAAACCTCACAACGACTGAGGGATTGCCGCGCGGAGGGTAGGTCGAACCGCTGAAAAATGTGTTAGTCGCGCTGGCTCGGTTAGAGACATGTTGGGAAGCATCTTATGGTACTGTCAAGCGCACGAGACGTCATTGCTACATTTGCCAATTGTATGTTTCAGCGCTGTTGGACCTCGCCGACGTTGCGGGGCCCGCGGACGAGAGCTAGGGCCCCCGTGCCCCAGCCACCTTTCTGCGACTGCTCGCAAGCGGGCGCCGTGGTGCGCCGCAGCCGCTCGACAAGCCCTGAACCGGCGCTGGAAGGCCTTGGCCTCCTTCGAAGCGCTCCGGGCACACGCCTGCTCGCTCCGTGAGCTGCCCATCGCAGGGCCCAGCGACCCGACCGACGACCAAAAGGTGCCGTTGGGTGAGTTGCTGGCGGGCAGCCTGCGAACAGGCCCCAGCCGGCTGGCGTAGCCGGGTCACAGCACCCCTTGACCCTGCGGACTCCTGACGCGGCCGCAAACAAGGTGCTTGAAAAAAATATATACCCCAACGTGACGCTTACACAATTGGAGCGAAACCATCACGTGTCACGGGAAAAAAACTGCAACGTTGAATCGCATGCGACTGAGGACGCTGACGACAGTGCGATATGTGTTTATACATATATATATATGTATGTATGTATGTATGTATGTACGTACGTACGTACGTATGTATGTATGTAAGTATGTATGTATAGACACACAGTTATTGCGAGCGTTCTTTCGCCTTGCTTGCTTGAAGAAACAGTTTATAGCACCACGGTATGTGCAGTGCTGTAGGCCGTGTTTCGGGTACGAACCGCGAAGAAGCACTCGCAATAAGTAAGTGTGTATGTGTGTGTGTGTGTGTGCGTGCGTGTGTACATGTGTCTATATATATATATATACGTACGTGTATACCGGGTGCTATAAACCATGCTTCAGGCAGGAAGGGCGAATACATATGAAATATACATATACATATATATATATATAAATGAAATACATACATGTCACTATCACCTGTGGCTTTGTTCTGACTTACATGACGTGAGAAGTTTGGTTTGCACATACAATCAGTGACACATGCATGCGTACACATACACGCGTACATAAAAGTTTGGGTATTCGTCGGTATTGCAACAGTTCTGGTACGTCGTAGAAGTAGTAGTCGTAGTAGAGTCATTTGCGTTTCGTGCCCGAAACACCGGTTACAGCATCATGCGATATATACATATGTATATATATATATATATACACATTTACAGAACCAGAAACACCAGCACCAGCGCCAGTGCCCTCAGTGTGCCATGGCCGGCTTGTGTAGGGAATGATGGGCACGCCAGAAGCCCAATGAAAGAGGCCAAGCCCCAACGAGTGTTCGAAAAGATGACTACGACTGCGACGTCTGCACGCAGCGGCCTGGCAATGACAAGATGGGACAAGGACCTGAGAACGTTTGTCGTGCGACTACGACCCCGACTTCTTCAAGCAGCAGCCCGAAGGCAGGACGCGGCGAAGGTGCAGAAGCACCGTTACAGCTTCAGCTTCGGGCAGCAGTCCAAAACGGACAAGGCACCCAGAGCGCTTGCTTGGACAACTACTGCTGTGACTTCCTCAAGCAGCAGGGGGCCAAGGACCAGCCCTCGAGAGCGTTCGGGCAAGGCCCCGAAAGCGTGGGTAGCACGATTGGGGCCGCGACTTCTTCAAGTGGTTTGTAGCACGGCTACGGCCGCGACTTCGTCAAGCAGCAGCCAGACGCAAAAGTCCAGCGAAGGTGCGGAGGCACCATTTCATTTTCAGCTTCGTCAAGCGGCCGCCAGAAACGGACAAGGCCCCGAGAGCGCTTGGTAAGACGACTACGGCCGCCACTTGTTCAAGCAGCAGACGGCCCAGCACCAGACTCCAAGGGTGTTTGGCAGCACGACTCCAGCCGCGACTTCCTCAGGCAGCAGCCAGGCGACAACGTCAAGGCCCAGCGAAGGAAAGGAGGTGGGACTGCGGCTCCAACTTTTTCCAGCAGCAGTTAAACAAGGACCAGGCAGCGGGGAAGCGCAAATCTGTCAGCGTCTGTAAAGTCGCCTGCAGATGAACCCCGACAAACAATTTATGCAACATTTTGTTTCCGACACACATGCCCACGGCGCAAGACACAAGTAGGCTCTCAATACTTTGTGCTGAGTTCCAGCATGTCACTTTCCTTGCTAGAACCATTGAGCGTCGACATTTGTCACAAAGGAAACATGCTCCGTGTACAACAGCTGTCTTATCCAGATCCTGCTTAGCGGATTTCCAGGCCGGTGAAGTGTTTATCAACAGGCTTGCATTCGACGCGGTCAAAGCTGAGCAACAACAAAGGTGCAGATGTCCCTCCAGGCGCCTGAAGGTTGGCGCCTCGTTCCGAGACGACGACAGAGAAGAATACCTTCGAAAACAACCGCAATGTGAGGATTGGCAGCAAAATCGACTCGGCGCCGCGGCGTGTGTACGATGGGATCGCAAAGGAGCAGGGACCATTAGGCCGCACGTTGCAGCTTGTCGTTGCGATATCCCGCAATTGGAGAGGTGAGGCTGCAGGGAAGGACTTCGAAACCGGTCACGGATGTCGTAAGAATGTGCATAATTAAACATTGCAGCCTTCGTAATTCTAGCGCATCATGAGAAATAGCGCTCGTCCATGCGGATGGAACACCGCCAAGAACAAGAACTTGGTGGAGAAACAAACTGAGCGAGGTGCACGATGAGAATGCTAGCGAGCTGCTTTTGCATATAGATTTTGAAGCTTTCAGGTAGGTAAGATGCTGGGGCCATGCTGTCATACACGTGGTCGCGTATGGCGATTGCAACCAGCAGCGCATCATCGCGGGCGGGCAGACTTCGTAAGCCGAGGTCGTGCAACGGTCGGCACACCTGGGACGACGTGCCCGGCAATGCCTAATGTTGTCGAGGAAGATATCGTGATCATCGTTGATGGGCTTCTGAAGCGGGTTTTGACTGTTGACCACCGTCACATGGTTTCCGGTAAAAGCAACTTCGATTTGCGCTGTGATGGATCAACTGCAGATTCACAGCCAATCGGTTCGAATCGTCTGCGCCGGGAAGGCGGTAATATGCATCGATTCAAAGCGGCTTACACACCACAGCAGCTCGCCACAAACCTGTCGGATGGTACGCGGTCCCGTCGGGTCCGGCGGGTCGTTTCTTGGCAAACTTTCATGATCACGTGGGAAGAGCGGGCGAGGAAGCAACGTTCGCGGACGACACGGCGAGCAGGTGGTTCAGAAAACCCGCGTGTTGTCGCACTTGCAAGCCTCGCTGCCGACATCGCTGGAGTTGCTTTGCAGCAACTGATGACGACTCCGGGATCATGTCTGAGTAGGGGCCATGCTACGAGGCCCTTCGGCGTGCAAAGGCGGATCAAGACGCTGGCACTCGAGATCCGGCCCACGGAGCTATCATCTAGGCAGGGCCTACAGAAATTTGCAGCTTGCCAGCCGGGTGTGTGTCCTGAAGAATCGAGCGTCCGACTACCGCCGCACGTCGGATTGCCGTTCAGGTCTCGGCAGAAGAAATTCGGCCGTGCGCATAGCAATACCTGCAATCAGAATCCTGCTGGTTGTCTTGCACTCACACAGGTCGCGCACGCAAGACGGCTGCCGCAGCTTTCAAGTCCAGTCCTGCTTATTTGCAACCCGCCACACCCCCCAAATCCACGTGACCACCCTCCGTCTGGGCCCAACATTGCAATGACAAAAACGAGCTGTGTGCAACGCGTCATCACTGCAGGCATGCAACACTTGCAGGTTCATGTCCGCGGATCGAAAAAACAAGTAGAGGGAAGCGCTTCTGTATGTGCATATGTATGCCTGTGTACATACACATATCTGTGTACACATTCTGCATACATAAGCATATAAGTCCACATGCAAACAAACAGGAAACCGTTTCATCTGCAAACCTGTCCCCTGCTGATGAACTCTTGCTCACTACGAATTTGACGATACATGTAACTTTCGGGCCACTGCTTATCCAATTTATGATTCGCAAACCACCCATTAACAAGAAGAGATGTGACACAAAACTCCGTCCAAAGCTATGCCACTCAGTAACTAGCACGCCTTCCAACAGATGACCACATGCAGCTCAACACTGCATATCACATCACGGAGATCACAAACCAAACTGTTGCAAAGTACCTACCGCGATGAGACGCAATCGAGTCCAACCCAGTGCACATGGGTGCTAGACAATGATGCAATACTTCGATAGACAATGCAAAATAGGACACAACTACATAGCCTGGCAGAGCGGGATCGTGTCTGGGTCATGCCACATGCCGAAGAGAGCGAGACATCGTACAATCATACCCAATCATACCCAATCATACAGACATGAGCTGTGGCTTGAGCATAAGATTCTATCCTAAAAGTGTGGAACAGGACGGATGATTCCCCCCCCCCCCCCTCCCCCGCAGGTCCCAGCGCCCCCGAAATGGTGCCCGCCTTGTGCCAACGGCCATCCAGCAACTCCAGAGCCAATTCCCAGAGTCGCTGCGGTTCCATGGCATCTGCCAGGGCTTTGAGGACCGACTCGGAGGGCCGCAATCCCGCGGAAAGTCGCTCCGAGAGGATGCAGAAAGCAGCTCCCCAGGGCAGCTTTTGGAAGATTGTACTGGCAGAGATGCTGTCCGGGGTCAGGAAACACCGGCTCATGTCCGAGAAGGACAAGAAGGCGGCCTGCCAATCTGCAGCTTTGGTTTGCGACCCCAGTCGGATGTTGTGACTGGCGATGTCCAGCTCGATATTTCGTTTCTCTGCAGCCAGGAGCAAGCCTGGGCTCTTGTTAGGACCTCCTTTTAAGTTGCCATATAATCAGGAAATCATATCATATGCCATAGTACACCATAAACCCTAAACCGTTCCTGAACAAGAATCCAGCAGCCGAGGGATGTCTGCCAGCGGATCGGATGATCGAACCATTGGCCGCTGGCTGTTCGGAGGCCACCGGACAAGGCTGCGGCTGCGTTCACCACGCTGGTGAGCCGCTCTACCTGGGTTCTTAAAGTTCTGTTAAGGGTGCTGGGGTTCCTCTAAGGGTTCTGTAAGGGTTTAGGGTTAAAGAACTTAGTTTGAAGTTATCATATTCGTGATCTAGTAGAGAATATGGTTTACTCACTATTTGGTAACACTTGAAGCAAGCATCTTAACAAGAACCCAGGTACCGGGACGGTCGGCAGAAGCGAAGCCTCCGCTAGCATCGTGAGGGCGAGGCTCCATGACGGCAGGGCAGCGATCGTTGCCTGAGCATCAAACCCTAAACCCTAAACCCAAAAACCAAACCTGATAGTCGCCTATGCAGTGCTTCCCATCCTCTCGGCAGCTCAGTTAATATTGGGTCAGTGAAGATACCGAGGCCCGCGCGCTGTAGGTGATGCTGTCTGCCAAGCTGGCGTAGACAGCATGGGCCAGCCTTGCCACATCCACACACACATACACACACGCGCGCACGCAGGCCTTCTATCAAGACTATGTTCTGCAGGTTCCCCAGAACTACAAAGCCCCTTGATGCAATAATCTGCTGTAAATCATAATAGCGATCTCTCTACTTTGAAAGTATATATACAATATACAGGTTTTCATTGAGAGGTTTTGAGATCTCTGGGACTCTAGGAGAGCGGAACATACTTCGGGCAAGCGCGTGCTCCGCCACGAGCACTTGGTTTCCGTTTCAACTGGGCCGGACCATTTCCAGGATTTGTCGCCACCTCTGATATCGGTTCTACGAGAATCATCCGCATCGATATCATCGTCATCATCATTGCCGTCACCAACCTCACTACCATCACCACCATGACCCTCATGTTCATCATCACCGCCATCACTGCGACAATGCTCCCCACGATCATGACCCTCATATAGCATCATAATGGCATTTAAATCATCATCATCATCATCACCACCACCATCATCATCACCAGAATTATCAAGGAACATGCAATGGGATTATCAAGCATAAGCAGGCTTGAGGCCCTGGCAGGCTTCCCGCGCGGCGCCAGGATGCCCGGCATCCCCCGATGGCCGAGTTGTAGCTGATAGCATCCTTTCGTGACGAGGGCTTACTAGCAGCTGTCAGCTACTTGGCGTACTTCTGAACCCCTCCTAAAAGCTAAACTTTTAGCCCAGATATTATAGTTCATATAAAAACCCAAAAAGTTAAAGTCTAAAGAGCCAACCAGAAGAACGCTAAAGAAAGGTGGCGTCGCCTTCTCCAGAAGAAGGATCCGAAAGTCGCCCAGCCTTGGCGAAAGCCGACATGTCCCAAGCCAGCTGTCGCCGTCCTCTACTTTTGGTCGTTGTCCTACTAACTGCCAGCATCAGTACCCATACGAGTCTGTTTTGTGTGAACATGCTCGCACCAAGAAGCATATTCACCGTCGTCGTCGTGGTCGTCGTCGTCATCGGTGGCTTGGACGTCTTCGCGGGCTTTAGTAAGTGGTCAGAGCTGTCACTGAGGCATTTCTTCTATGAACGATCCCCAGCAATGCAAAATAATGCACTGATCTGAGACATGCTTTAGTAAGAAGACAAGACTAGAACTGGTGCTTGCTCTGGTGCTGGCACTGGCCCTCGCCACGGTAAGACGGTACCTGTTCTATTACTAGAACACCGTTCCAAACGACCGCTTCAACGTGGAAATGGACTGAGACTTGTGCTGCGACTTCTCTTTGGTGGTTCTCGTCCGACACAACGTGGTGCTTGCTGGGTGCAAGCGCACACTCTCATACGGCGGGTATCTTTCTAATCCCAAGAAGTGAATGAGTAGGCTAGGGTTTTGCCGTATGCAAAGGCTACGTATGTTCTGTCTAAAGATTGGATAGGGACTGCAATGGCGTTTTGTTGCTAAAGATCCCCAAAGCTCGGCAGTAAGCCTTACACCGCGGCGGATGTGCTGAGGATGGTACCGATGCAAGGCAAGCCTCCATGTGCGAGCTCTGGCAATTGCCTTGTTCGCGGCGACGACATCTCTGGGACGGACCCCTCCACTCATTCAGAGTTCTGAGTACAAGGTTTGGTGGTAAGCTATTTTGGGGTTTAGGGCAATCATGTCTGAAATGCCACTTCCTGCTCGAAGAGAAAAGATAAGGCTCAGGCCTTGTAAGGATTCAGGATGTAGAACGTAGCCAGGGCTTGGAGTAGTTTAGGGTTCACGGCCTACAAGTAGGGTGGCCTAGAGCTTAGGTGGGCTTAGGGCTTAGGACTTCGGGTTTGGCGTCGGCTCCATGCTAAATATAGGGGCCTTAATACGTGGAACAGCGTTATATTAAAAAAAAATCAGGAACACCCGAAATATCTTAGGTAACTATTAAGGCCCCTACATTTCTTCTCTGAGCTGTGGAGTGTGCTCTTGATTTCAGGTTCTGCCTCTGGCAGCTCGTGGAGCCCAGAGAGGGTCGAGATGCATGGGGTAGCTCTCTAAGTTAGGGTCCCCTTTGTGGGTCCATCTTATAAGGGTGCCGTACTATTTTGGGACCCAGAAAAGGACCCGAATTTTTGGGACCCAGAAGGGGACCCGAATTTAGAGAACTGCCCACCTAACTGTAACGACAGCTTACCGCTGCAAGCCGGACATTCCAAGAGCTAAGCCCCACAGCCAAAGTTTAAGGCTTCAGTCCAGGGCACTAAACCTTCAACTCTAAACCCCTATATGGGCCCTATCTTCTAAATCTCACCCTCTTGTAGGAGTGTAGGGCTTAAGGTAAAGCGTGTTAGCGTTTAGGGTTTAGGCATTTCAGGATCTCCGATTCAGGCGCTTTGGGCTTCAGAGCTGACCTGGTCCTCGAGGGTGTCTTGCGGCTTTCCATATTCTTGAACGAGTTTCTTTGGCGTTGGCTTTAGACAGTTAATGTAGGAACCTGATTAAGAAGCCCTGGCCTATGACCCCCAAAATAGTAGGATTCATATCAAGAACCCTAGTAAACACCCGGGCTTCTTGTTCAAGTTTCTACATTACTTTCTGGAGGTTCTGAGCCTAAGCTTCGGACCGGATACCTTCCAGGGGCCTAAATAGTTAGACTAGGGTTTTGGAGTGAATTCCAGGATAAGATGGAACAAATAATGTAGGGACGATAAGGGACTACGCCGGAAACTCAGCAGATCCTGCACCCACGAGCATGGGGCCCTGAAAGCCCAAAACCCTTACATCCCGAAAATGGTGCACTGTAGGGGCAATCAAAAGGGACCTGCAATCTACATTAGGTCATTAGGTCTTATGATTGGCTCTATATTCCCTAAACCCTAAACCCTAAACCCTAAACCCTAAACCCTACATTCCCTACACCTTGAAGGAACACCGATAGCCCAGGCCCAAGAGAGCCAGAAGCTGCAGGTCCCAAACCCGCAAGCCCCAAATTCGGTTTAGGGTTTACGGTTTTAGGGTTTAGGGTTTACGGTTTTAGGGTTTAGGGTTTAGGGTTTAGGGTTTAGGGTTTAGGGCTTAGGGTTTCGGTTAGGGTGTAGGGCTTAGGGTTTACGGTTTAGGGTTTCGGGTTTCGGGAAGCCCAGAACCGCAGCGGTCTCCCAACATCTTTTTCGAGGATGGCGATGCGGCCAGACCCGGGATCTGCCTCGGGGGCCGAGAGGAAGAAGGCGCGTTGTTTTGGAGTGGGATCCGGGGAGGGGGACGGAGGGAGAGTAGCCAAGAGAGTCTAGGGTTGAAGGTTTTGGGGTTTGGGGGTTAGGGTTCAGGGTTTGGGGTTTAGGGAAGGGTTTAGGGAACCCAGCCGAGTGCCCGGCGGCGCCGGCATGCAGACCGGGGCTCGGAAAAGTGCCAAAGGATCTGCCAGACACCTCAAAAAGGGTGGCCTTAAGGATCAATTAGGATGCGGTCGCTGCAGGAATGTGCTATAAGACTGTAGAAAGACTTGCAAGGGCATACAAGGAGGTCAGAAGGGTCACGAAAGTTTCCATCAGGGTTCTATCAGGATCTCTGCAAGATGCTTGTCTACTGTCGTATGTGGGGACTGCCAAGAGATAATTATTGCAGTCATACAGTGGTGTCATAATCGGAATGGGGTTTGGATTAGGGTTTCAGGCTTTGAGAACCCTACGGAAAACCCGCCACAGACTCGACAACTTTGCACCCGGACCCTAAACAGGCCCTAAACCCTAAACATTCAAAACCCCAAACCCCTCCAAGCCGCAAAACCACCCACAAAAAACACAACAAACAAAAACAAACAGCTGAAGCCCCAAACTCCCCAAACGCCCTTCTAAACAGAAACACAAAGAGCCCTCTTCAAGCTGCGGGCTCTTCCGGATGCTCCACGAGACGGTCCAAAAGGAAATCGAAGCTTGAGCCTCCGAAGCAAAAGAGCTGGGCTTCAGTTCAAGGGTTCAGGGTTTAGCGCTTAGGGCTGACAGGGTTGAAGGGTTTAGGGTGTAGAGATAAATACCCTTAAACAGGGGTTTCAGGACTCATTTGTTGGGGTTTAGGTTCCACCAAAAAAGAGGCAGCTCAATTGGAGGGATTCAGTTTTGAAAAAGGCTCAGGGTTCCTTGAAAGGTTCGATAACGCTGCTTTATATAGAAAACACAGGGCTTCGGAGCAAAAAGACTTCAAAAAGGGTTTTAGGCTCCCTTTGCGGTTCAGATTAAGTTGAAGGTTCCCTTCAGGCTTCCTTCAAGGGGCTTCGGGTTAGTTAAAGGGTCCAAGGCTGTAGTTTTTTTTTTTTAAATGGCGGCATGGTTTAGGGTTTGTGGGTTTTAGGTGTAGGTGTGGGACGTGAAACTTCGGCTTGGGTCGGGCCTGTTCTCGGTCTGGGGTGGCGAAAGAGGACTCAGGATCCAAGTTTTGGTGGCCCCCCAACGCCACCACTCGAAACTAAATCCCAAGGCCGGCAATGCAGGAGTCTTTTTTACCCTAAACCCTGAACTCGACATACCGAACCCCTCAAGCGTGACCTCCAATCCTTGAAAGCCCTGAACGCAAACGCCATTAAACAAAGACAGAGAGAGGAATAGTCGTAACAGCAAGGCGATACCATATACCACATTCACAGAGTAACAACCAGTGTAACAGGCAACAGTGCAGCATGAATTTGAGGACAAACATGATATAACAACCACAATGATCATAATCCGATATTGAACAGAATTAACAATATTGCCAATAAACCCCACAAGACTTAAATTACAGAGGTCGGAACAACCATCACTAACATTGCCTGGCGGCCTTATGATCCCTCTACACTTATCAGTATAAAACACGCTAAACCCTATTCCAACAAATTACGGCCGAAAAATGAATCCCCGTAGCCCAACATCCTGACGGATACCCTCCAGGAGCCCGGAAAGGACCCTTCGTCTAACCCTAAATCCTTAAGGCCTCGAGGGAACCTTGTTAAGGGTTAGGGTTTAGGGTTT